TGCATTGTTTGGAAATGGTGCATGGTTTGGTCTCAACCATTTCGTCCACACCCCTTCATGGTCTATAAATAGGACCCTTTGGGTGTCCTATTCCTCACAGTTTGATATGCAAAACGTTTCTCATCCTCTCTTCTATCCAAAATCAAAATCATTTCGTTTATTTTGATTTTCTTTCATTTCATCCTTGGAGTACATAAGCCTAAATTGGTTCGTTGTACTTGTGTTTTGGAGTGCTACAAACACAAGTGTAGCCGTTGTATCTTGGGAGTCGATTGCCGAAATCCGTAGGCACCGTTGCGGGGCAAATTCGACTTAAGGACAAAGAGTCCAACTCTTGCCTCGGCTTTGTCACCATCATTATACTTATTTCAGCGTCACTATTCACAAAATTCATCCAACAGCAAGCAATTTGTTGCTGCATCTTATGGCTAGTGGAAGATGTAGCATTGAGTATTTGATATACAAGATAATGTGTCGGCAAGTCACTTTTCATTTCTATGTAAAGTTATATGGTTGATACTAAAGTGAATTTATAGTCGTTGTAAATAGAATACCTATACTTTTTGATCGCACATGTGTTACTATATAAACGAGAAATTAGACCACGCTTCCTAACAATTAATTGTTTTGGCTCCCAACATTATATAGTGAAGTTTTGGTCTTTATATAAACTTTTAAAGATTTTATCCTCCAACTTTAAGTCCAAGAAAGTAGAGTATACTTCTAATGTTCATATTATTAGTTTTCTTCTTGTGGAAACTCGTAATCAAATAGATAATTTGAGAACTTAGAATATTACTTTTGAAGGTGGCAATGAATCAAGCCGAGTCGACTAGAGTCGACTAATGCCCCTAAAACTCCATGCTCAGCTCCGCTTGCCTTGACTTTCCGTATGAGCTTGGGCTTTTGGACCCATGAGCCAAGCCAGACATGCAATGAACTCAGCCCGAGTCAATTGGAAGTGTTCCAAGAGCTTGTCTTTTTTAACCTTACATTCTTATTAAAATAATATTACATGTAAATTAAGAACATTTCTTTCTTTTTTAATCATACATTCTTTATCAATCGTTATTCCGTAATATATTTTTTCAAATTAATGGGGCTCGAACGGGCC